GTGGGGGGTGGGTGTCCGGGGATGAGAGAGAGAAAGAGGGAAAGAATGAGGGAGAGAGAGAGAGAAAATCAAACGACAAACGCAAGTTATATACCTCGCGGCTATCCATGTAGAAGTTTTGAGAAAGAAACGTCTAGTCCATATGAAATACTTATCTCCTCGACGTTTCCTTCATTTTTCTCCCTAGCTCTTTCAATCACTTTAGACATTGTTTTTGTAACTCGTAGTTTTGTCTATTAGAAGCTCCTTCTTCTTCTTCTTTTTTTTCTTTTTCTTCTTCTTTATGCCGGTTCTTACTCGTCCGTTTATAATTATCTTCCATTCTTTTCTCGTTTAAATTTTCTTTTAATTATTTTTCCTTTTTCTTCTTTTCTTTTCTTTTTCTTCTTCTTCTTTTTCTTCTTCTTCTTCTTTTTTTCTTTCTTTCTTCATAATGATCCTCTTTTAAAAGACTACCCACTAATGTCAGTGTCATGTAACTGTAAGGAGAAAAATAAAATAAAAAAAAAAAAAAAAAAAAAAAAAATTGATTACGTACTGCTCCAGAATTGGAAATTTTTAATGAAATTTCTTTGGCAAATTGAAAATGAATAAACGGCGTTAAAGAAAATTTCTTTACTACGAAACAATTGATTTTAGGTAATGGCTTTTTTCTTTTTTTCTCTTCTCTCTCTCTCCCTTTTTTTTAAAGACTTCTCTTGTTCGATAATGTCTTTGCCATTCTATTAATATTTTCTGCTAATGGGAATTCTATTGTTAATGATATTGTTATGAATTCTAGTAATTGGTCTTGTTCTCTTATGTTTTAGATCGTTAAAGAAAGAGACCGAAGACAGATTAGTATTCAAAATATAATTCTATTTGAAACGTGAAAGAACATTTTCTAAATATGGATACTGGTACTAGTCAGAGTAAAAAACAAATCCGTGTGGGTTTTTATGACATAGAAGGTACTATTGGTAAGGGAAACTTTGCCGTAGTGAAATTAGCTAGGCATAGGATTACCAAAACCGAGGTAAATATATTAATTCTTATCGTTTCATTATATTAAATACTTATTATACAATTTCTATTATCTCTTATTCCAGGTGGCCATCAAGATAATCGATAAGACACAACTAGATCCTACTAATCTGGAAAAAGTTTATAGAGAAGTTGAAATAATGAAGCAATTAGAACATCCTCATATTGTTAAATTATATCAAGTTATGGAAACTAAAAATATGATATATATGGTACGAAGAGATAAATTATTTTCTTTTTTTTTTTTTTTTTTTTTGTTTTTAATTATATATCCTAATCTAAACCTGTGATTTTATATATATATATATATATTTTCTACTTAGGTATGTGAATATGCAAGTAAAGGAGAGATATTCGATTACATAGCACAATATGGAAGAATGGGAGAACCACGAGCTCGGGCAACATTTGCCCAAATCCTATCCGCTGTTGAATATTGCCATGCGACAGGCATAGCTCACAGAGATTTGAAGGCTGAAAATTTGCTCCTAGATGCTCAAATGAACGTTAAGATTGCAGATTTTGGTTTTAGCAATAGATTTGCACCAGGAGAACGATTAAGTACTTGGTGCGGAAGCCCACCTTATGCTGCTCCAGAAGTATTTAGAGGAAAACATTATGCCGGTCCAGAAATTGACGTTTGGGTATGTATCTTTTATTCTTTATCTGAAACAAACAAAATTGTATGTCTGTTAAATGACGTTAAAAAAAAAAAAAAAGAGAAAAAAGAGGAAAAGAAAAACAAAATAATAATAATAATAATAATAATATACTTGTATAATTTTACAGAGCTTAGGCGTTGTGTTATATGTATTAGTATGTGGTGCACTGCCCTTTGATGGATCTACTCTTCAATCATTAAGAGATCGCGTGTTGAGTGGTAGATTTCGTATTCCATATTTTATGAGTACAGGTACATTAATATTATACCACATATATATGTCAATTAGTTTATTATATATATATATATTTTTATAGTCGATCTTAATCTGATTCATATATAACATTCTATTTCTTTCTTTTTATTTTTTTTTTATCTTCTTTTTTTCATAGATTGCGAAAGTCTTATACGTAAAATGTTAGTTTTGGAACCTGCAAAACGATACACGATTCCACAGATCAAAAGGCATCGTTGGATGGCAGGTTCGGCAGATACTGTTTGTTCTGCTATAATAACGAGATCATCACCATCTATTCAAGAACCTAATGAACAAATACTTCGACTTATGCATAGTTTAGGCATAGATATTACACGAACTAGACAGGTAAGAGATATCGTAGATAGAGAATTATCAAGATTAATTATTATTATTAATTTGTTAACATATTTATTTTTTTTTTTTTTTCCGCCAACAGTCCTTAGGAAATAGCAGTTACGATCATCACGCTGCTATTTATTTCTTGTTACTTGAAAGATTAAAGCAACATCGTGTTAGCAGTACGACGAATAATATTTGCTGGCCCACAGTTGCTAGATCGAAAGAAGATAAATTTAAATCAAGGTATATCTTTACTTATTTTTGCTTGATTTTTCCAAAAAGAAAAAAAGAAACAAAAAAAAAAGAAAACAGATTAGTTTGTTTTTAAAGCGAACGTTAGAGAGAAAGAGAGAGAGAGAGAAAGAGGTCTACTTCCAATCCTGCCAGTCAAGAAAAATGATACAAAAGTATTATCCCATGTTAATCCTCTAATTTTTATTTACAGCAATAGCTTAGTGGGACGTTGATCTTTATTGATGGGTGATGGCGGAAATTGGAGAGATTTTGTCACGACAGGTTGAATTGGAAGCTCATTGCTGTCACTTTGTTTTTGGTAACTTTCTTTCTTTCATTTTCTTGCTTTCCTGTTCTTTTGCTTATTATCATTTTACAAAAGGCCAATATTGATGGAGTACATTATTGTTCTTTTTCTTAAGTTGTTATTATCATCTAAGATTAATAATTTTCTTCTTTGTTTTTCTTTTACGATTGGTTTTTTTTTTTTTTTAAGTTTCATTATCAGTTATTTTGATTATTACGAATTTAACATGTGTTTTTGTAATTACGAAAATTTTGTGTGGATGTATATATATATATATATATATATATATATATATATATATATGCTTTGATGATGTATAATATGATTACCTTTTTCTCTTATGCTATAGTGATAAAAAGGAGATTATTAAGTAAGTTTGTGTCAATACAAGAGTGAGAGAGAGAGAGTGAGAGAGTGAGAGAGAGAAAAGTAAAAAAAGAAAAAATAAAAAGATGGAAAATGAGAAATCTTTTAATTTACCTTAAATATAATAAATCAATATTTCTACTTTGTTATAGAACAAGGGACGATGTTAGCAGAGGAGGTAAACGGTTCAGTTCAACGAGCTCTTCGACCGATGAAGGTTGTTGCAGTGCTGAAGGAGATCTAGAAGAAGGACCAAGCGGTGATGAGTTAAGAGAAGCACAGATTAAATTAGAAGAGCACAGGCTTGGCCTAGACCATGACATAAGTCAACGAATCGACAGTCAAATTGTCAATCGAAGATTAAGCGATTACCAACAACATTTTGATAGTCCACTTATGGATCCTATTGATCCTCCTAGTCGAACGACGTTGTTCCTTGCTGGTGGTAGCGGCAGTTCATCGTCCGATCTTTTCGAATCTAGTTTTGATTCTGGTTGTCCACCGGATTATACAGGAGCAAATTGTTTTACCAGCAGTTTACCTTCTTGCACTCCACCGCCACCTAAAAGTCCATCTCCAATAACTGGTAGAATATCGCGAGCCTCACAAGGACGTAGGGCATCCGACGGTGGACCAAGATTACTTTTCTGTCAACAAGGAGGTGGTGACAGACCAACTACAAGGCAACGAAGTATTCAAGGTAAGTTAATTTAAATTGTCTCACATTCTACATCATAAAGTGATTGTTTTTAAATTTATATAACATTAACTCAATTAATTATTTTATCAAATAATATTGCAGATTCAGGTAAAGCAAAAGGTCATTTGGATCTTGTACATTTGAGACCACCGTCTACGCCACCTCAAAATCAACCGCAATTTAAAATCCGCGGAGATTCCGGTACCCAGTTACAACTATTGGTACAACAACGTATGTTACAACAGAAACGAAATTTATATCACAGACATCGTGCCGGTGGAAGTCCAACTCCTATTCCAGTATCAACCAATACTACTAGTAGACGTATCGATCATGTATCGCGACAAGATAGTTATAAAATGGCTCAGAGAACGCAAATATTACCACCTTTATCTCAGGGACACGTCGATCCTGATTTTGATAGAGATAGGAAGCGAGAAGAAGAAAGGTGGAAGAGCTTACCATCTCGCTTAGCGGCAGATTGTCAGTTAGCTGAACGGACGCTCTTATGGAGTCAACAGGTAATGCTATAAAAGAATAAAAATGTAAAAATTTAATTATTATATATGTATATATATATATATATGTATATGTATATGTATATGTATACGTATATGTATATATATATATATATATATAGAGAGAGAGGCTATGATTTTTTTTTAATGAAAACTGTGATACACAGCTATAAGAATTTTGGCTGTATGTTTTGTACTTATTCTATTTTTACATTTTTTACAAATTAAAGCTTTAGATCCTGCTTACTTGCTTCAATAGATTAATAGTAGTTAAAGTAGATTGTAAAGTTAAGATTCTGCCGGTTTGTTGTATTATTATTATTATTATTATTATTATTATTATTATTATTATTATTATTATTATTATTATCATTATCATTATTATTATTATTATTATTATCATTATGTGATCGTTATATAATATTATTATATTAGCACCTTTAATGCAGTGATTGTTATTCTTTGGTGAACTAATTTATGTTAAACGAAATAAACAGTTATGTTATTTAAGTTTTGGCCTACTTATTATACGATAAAATTGATTTCGATTCGTGCATGATGATCCCTTTTGTGTAAAATCAATGTGCAGTAAAAATTGTATTAATATTATATCTGCCCATGTTTTATATATTTAGTGCTTTGTATATTTTTATAATTAATAATTTGGCTATACATATATATATATTATTATTATTATTATTATTATTATTATTATTATTATTATTATTATTAATCATCATATGTTCATCTGGTGAATATATGAATTCGTAATGTAATGGAATACAATAAATATTCATTAATTATAATGTACGTGCACGTGCCTTTGCTTAAAATTAAATTTTAACGCCTATTTGAACGTATCAGGTCGGACTAGGTGGAGGGGCATCATACTTGCCACCCGGCAGTGTTGGGGGGTTCTTGTGGCCCACTACAAACAACACGCATTCAACCATTTTTGAAAATGCTGGGGATCAAATGGAATAAATATCTGTCCTGTTGTATTTAGTAATAACTTAGAGATTTTGAGTCTGTAAAGCTAGATTAAGAGACACAACCAATATAATAAACAATATTGCCTTCCTAGTCTTTCCACATGATGTTATATTAGTATTATTGTGTACATTTGATCTTAGATTTCAAGCATGAAATATTGACGTATACATATTTTCTTTATAGTAACGCTTTTACGTTAAACAATATTGTATTCTCTAGCTTACACACCCAGAATCTCTAACCACGTGGATAGTACATGTTACTGAATGTCAAAAATTTATATGGTTTTTATAAACTCTCTTACGTAGAATATGTCATTATCTGACAACAATTACAACAATTATCCTTGTACACAAATCATATCTAACAGTACAGGGTTAATCTTTTTATGCAAAATGCAATAATTATAAATAAGATATTAAAATTGATTTAAAGAAATCTTTGTCATACAGTAGCATGTGCGCCTGCCTTATTACATGACTGATCCGATCGGTCGAATATCCAATTATATCATAGACTGATAATTAACAACAATAAAACACCAATCAAATTCATTTTGAAAAGATAAGTGGCATATGTCTTACTTCGTGAATGTTACTACTATGATGTTTTGATTGATTGACTATAGCAGGCAGAATATTCAATTGCTTATTCTTTTAGGAACATATTATTTAGATCACACATATGATAACTCTTATCAAATTTCTATCATATAAATGTTACCAATGATATTCTCTACTGCCACTGAATGAGAAGAACGCAAGTGTTCACAAATCAATGACAAGGTATTATAAACGTGTTTTAGTGTAAGCTGTAAGGGTGTGTAGTATTTACTTTTTCAATGGGGGAAAAAGTAAACAATATGATCGAATAAATTAAAATCGTTACACATCGATATAAAAAGGAAGACATATGCTACTTTTAGGAATTTTTTTTTGTTTTCTTTTTTTTTTTTCTTTCTTTTTTTTTGGACTAATAAAAGAGAGTGGAAATCACCAATAGAAATATAATTGTTCTTAATACATTTCATTGTTGTTGCTTTAATTAGAAAGAAATACTTTAATGATATTGAATGTACAAAAATTAGAATATGTTTTTAATCCTTCCACTCTTTTTAATGGTGCATAAACGTTATATTAGGAAATAATCATAATAACAAAAGAAAACAATAATATTAGTGGTAAAATGTAGTTGGCATGTAAGAATATGAAAGAAGTGCTGCATTCTGTAAAAATGTTTAACAGAAGTCATTAAATATATATGCTTTACAAATTCATGCATGAACTGTTATAAGAGACCAGACTTGAGATGCTTTGTCTAAGTGTAGTATAAAAAAAAAAAGAAAAAAGAAATGAAATTAAAAAAAGAAAAAAAAGAAAAAGAAACAAAAAATACAATGATACATATGACATAGGATGATGGATAGAGCACCGAACAATAAGAAAAGAAAAATTTTATGGCAATCATTAAATTCAATATCTTAATTGTCAACTGTTTTCATCAAACCAAAAAATTACAAAAAAAAAAAAGAAAAAAAAGACATATACACTTTTTATATGTTTCCATTTTTTTAACAATAGGTCAATTTTACTCAAGGATTCTTGTCCAAAGCTCAGAGCATCAAAAATTTCATGTTTACAATAATAATAATAATGATGATGATGATTTTAATGATGTGAGATACCCAAGAGACTAAATTTTTTTAAATAAAGCTTTTGTATTTTTACATAGATTTTTTAGCTTTGCACGATCGTATCTGTTAGGGAAAGATACATATAAACGAAATGGTATCGAACGAAAAATGTTTTTACATTTTGATATGAATACAGCACTTTTTATGCAAATACATAACCTTAGAATTTAGTAGTTTTAGTCAGTAGAGTGCAATACCGGCCGCGCACAACTGACAACGACTTTACTATTCGAATTTTCTGTCATTTTTTACCCAAAAAGAAAACAATCAAACTTTTGCTCAAAATCTTTTGATATGTGTAATCAATAGCCATTAAGTTAGCCTAATTCTCAAAAAAAAAAAAAAAAAAAATAAATAAAAAAAGAAAAAAAATCTGTCATTCTAAAAAGGCGCGAACTTATATGTCTAAGACTCAGGAATTGAAATTTGTTTCTTAAACCACTTATTGACAGCAGATATATCCATTTAAAAAGTTGTCTTTTTGGAGCGATAGATTTATAATTTCCATGAAAACTGGCATCATTTACAAGGATGTATATCATTCATTTAACAGCAATAAAATTCATTTCATCTATGCGTATCAATATACACGCTAGTATATGTCTTTATTTTTAGTATGTACCTTGTAAAAAAAAAAAAAAAAAAAAAAAAAGACTGTTTGTAAGATATTATTGATTATTGATTTTGCAATGCACGGTCTAACACAAATAATAACATCTGCGATATTTGGTAGAGCAATTATTTGCTATTGAATTAAGACTGCCACATGAGTTTACCATCATACAAAGATTATTATAAAACAAGTTATAAAGGTGTATATGGAAAACTCCATTTTTGTCCTCCTAGAGAAAATAGATATTTGCTCGTTTCTTTATTCGTTACAAATGATAGATCAGTAGTTACTGTTTATAAATCATTCTACATATGTAATACACGCGTGCATAGAATGTACCAAATAAAACATATGTGGATAAAAAAAAAATGATTAATTCATTCCCTTATCTTCTTTAACATATATAGAAATACTTATTTATAATTTATTGTAACATCAAATATTACATCACATTTAATTTCAAACTCTTATGATATTTTAATGTATCTCATTACTATCGAATGATACGAAAATATCTTTTAATCTATAATAGTACTGTATTTACATCTATCATTTTCGCAAAAGATATCGGTACCAGTTCTTTTGGCACGATCTGCTGCTTCTTGCGGAGTAAGTTTTTCATATTCGCTAGGATTCATAGGATCTCCATTTGGATCCAATTCTTGTTTATTAAAATCCTCTTCAATCTTTTCAGCATATATCTCATTAAAGAGATCTTTAGCGGTATATTCTCCTTGACTAATATTCTCTACCTTATACGATACATATGGTTTCAAAGTAAAACCTTCTAAAGATGGAACGATAAGTTCAGGTACCATTTCCGGAACATTAATCCATCTATTTCCTATCTTAAAACCTGTATCCCTTACTCCTCTTTCTAAATAAAGAATATAACAAATCAAATTTTAATTTACATATAATTTCAAATATTATTTTAAAAGAGGTTAAACAATATAGAGGTTAAACACAACATTTTCCTAAACAATTTTAAACTTACTGTCTATTGGATAATCCGGATAGGGATCTGTAGACTGCTTCTTTTTGAAATCTCGACTACCTCGTTTATTAAAAAATAAAAATTTACGAAAATTACGCTTTCCATAATTAACACACGAAGTTGAGATACCTCGTTGTAAAATCAAACACGAAGAGGCCATAATTGTATAATCGAAGGAAGAACAATTCAATATAATTAATCTATACCAAAAGTTAAACGAAAACGTAAATTTATAATAATTTTTCACACAATATAATAATCACAAAGAAATTATCGATGATTTCAAAGATACAAACTAACCTAACTTTTTGTAAAACCAATTGAATCAAATCAGAAAAAAGACCGCAACGAGTCGCTACAATCGAACTATGTTGGTAACAATCATTTAACTAAAATATTATTAACATTTAAAAATAACGATTAACAATCTTATGTTATATAATAACATAAATATGTAAATAATTAATCGGAAAAAATACTTTTCGAAAATTATAAACGCTATTAATTTACACCATTGTATATCACTAGTACATTACATATTACGTATTGCACACATAATAATTTAAATAAATTTTATAATATTAGAAAGAATTATATATATATATAAATATATATACATATATGTATTTAAATGTATTAATAATTATGAAGAAGATCAAACGATACTCACTCGTCGAAGTGTCGAACTAGACTGAACGTAATTGAGGTAGGTCAAAGCTCCGAACGTTTTCATTGTTGTTTACATTCCTTCACGCTAAGTTCTCACGACTTCCAATCGTTATTATCGTTCTAATCGATATTACGCGTCACTTTGAAACTGTTCTCTTTACACATCGTATTTTAACAATTAATTATTAACATTTAAACAAAATGAATATGATTATTTTAATATATAGTAACGTATGTACAACAAAAATTCATTGGCATCCATTATTGTTCCGTAATTAAATTTTTCTTGGCGCCAATATTTTCGTGGTCGCTATGGAAACGTTTACAGGAGCGTAACTATGAAAAAGACTCGAAGGGACTAATCTATATAGCGTTGCCTATATACAGGGGCATATTATATATATATATATATATATATATATATATATATATATATAATTTATGAATATAATATAAATATTTAGAAGAGTCTTTGCGCTTTATAAACGATAAGTGATAAATGTTAAAATGAAAATAATTGAAATCTTAGAACATTTATTTTTTTTTTCTTTTTTTTCCTCTTTTCTCCAAAATTTTTAACAAAGACACACTTCCCTTTTTTATTCCAAAGTATTCTCATATTACCGAATGACTTCGAAATTGATTATTAAACTTAATACTTAATTTTTGTTGCATTGATTAATTAAGTTAAATATCGAAGAGAATCAATTTACACAAATATATATACGTATATATATATAAATATATATACATACACATACATATATACATACACATGTACGGGCACTCAAAAAATACGAGTGTCATATATTACACAAGATATATATATATATATATACATATATATATATATATATATATATTTTTTTTGTAACTTTTTCTCTTCTTTAATATTCATCCATCCAAGATTATTTTATCCCAATTACTTAAGAAAAATCATCATTCGCCACATAATTGATTTGTCGTTTCGATCCATTGCAATATAATAAGCGAAAGAAATAGAAGGAGGAAGTGCAAAAGGTTATAATAATTTCTTTTTATATTCAAAAGGAAGAAATGTAAAATGAGAATAAAAAAAAAAGAAAAAAAAAAGAAAAAAAAAGAAAGAAAAAAAAGTAAAAGTAAACAAAATAAAAATTTCTATTAAAATATTCAGCGTCATTATATTTAATATTCTTAATAATATAGAAGCGGTCATATGTAATAAACCTTGATTAGAACGAACGTTAGGATAAAAATAAAACGATGAGTTATCTACCCATCATAATACATGCTATATATTATGAATGGCAAGATACTATAGATAGAAAAAGATGCCACGAAATCTGACGATACGAGGTTGTTGTTATTGTTATTGTTGATGTTGTTCTTATTTCCTTCAAGAAATAGTAATTACATTATACCTAAAAATAGTAATTACATAATTGTTCCTTCGGTACAGAAAAATTCATTTTAATTTGATGGCTCTTAGAGATCAAAAGGGGGCGGAAGGTGGTTGGGAGGGGACTATAGGATGGAAGAAAGGGTTGGGGAAAAGGGGAGTCTAAGAAAAGGGATGAATGAGGGGAGATGATGAACAAAGGTACGTCTAAATTATGTATATATATATATGTATGTATGTATGTAAGTATGTATGTACGTATGTATGTAAAATCGTTATCTAAGCTCCTACATATCCAGATTTCGCAATATCCTTGTAAATATTCAGATAGAAAATATTGATTAACTTCTCACTGGTGTGTCGAGATCGACAAATTTCGATCGTTTACTTGAATTCCATACACTCACACATTCATACACGCTATTTACGATCTCTTTCTCTCTCTCTCTCCCTCTCTCTCTCTCTCTCTCCCTCTTTTTTTCTCTTGTTTCACGAAGCATTATGAAAAAAGCGCGATGCTGCGATTAATAGAACACAATATACATATATGTGTGTGTGTTTGTGTATATATGTATGTATGTATGTATGTATGTATGTAAGTACATACATTTTGATGTTCTGTATTAAAAAAAAGGAAAAATGAAAAAAAAAAAAAAGAAAAAAAAAGAAAGTGGATGAGAGACGAAAAAAAAACCAAATTCTTATACAATTTCAATTGCTGCGAACGTATGTTCTTTTTTCTTTATGTTGTTGTTATTATTATTATTATTATTATTATTATTATTATTATTATTATTATTATTATTATTATTATTATTATTATTATTATTATTATTATTTCGGACATTGTGCAGGTTCAACGAGATATTGTTTCTTTCTTAATTATAATTAAAAAGGATGAATTATACAACAGTTACATTATCGATATTTTTGTAAATTTTAAATAAAAAGCTTATAAGAGAATACGTAGATTTATTAAAATTAATTAATTAAACGATATTTCAATACTTTAACAAGCACCCAACGATTTAATCCTTTCTTCCTTTCTTTCATTCCTTTTTTTTTCTTTTTTTTTTTCTTTTTTTTTTGTCTTTTAAATTTCAATAATTTTTCTGAGGTAATATATAATATTATATAAAATCGATGATAATCAGTTAATCATTTTTCTGCGCAATGTCCAGAATTCTTTCTACAAACACACACGTGTTTACTCATTATATATATGTATAAGTATATATAATAAGTGAAATTTATATATATATATATATATGTTATGTATATATATAAATTAACACCCTTCCATATGATTCTCGATATCGACAATAATAATGGTAATAAAAAATAACTAACTGATATTATTTTTGCGATATATAACCATGGTGCTAGCAGCATCTGTGTTTTGTTTCTTGTCAATTAGGGTCATTATTATTACATCCGTAAATGTATGTGTATGTGTATGTGTGTGTGTAAATATATATATATATTGTGTGTATACAGTGTGTATATATATATATATATGTATATGCGTATATATACATATACGTACATATAATATGCATATATACACATATATATATATATACGTTTTTTTTTTAATTATATACAATTGCAGAAGGGGTGTGATCATTATTGTGTAGGCACTATGGCTTCTGGACGTACACTAAGTTGTACGTTAGGGTACATCCTGTAAGGAACTTCCAAGAGAAAGAGAAGTCACCTCCAGTGTACGCTTGAGTTCTTTAGGAAC